CTATCTTTTACTTTTAGATTTATGGTTTTTATGTGTGTGTGTGTGTGTTTGTGTGTATGGGTGTGCGTGTTTTGTGTATATTACTTAGCGAGGTTGTAATTATTGTACGTAGGTGTGGATGTGTACAGTATATGTGTGTGCGTATACTGTATGTTTATATATCTGCGGATGGGTATATGTACACACATATATTTATGTTTGGTTGCTGGGTGTTTGTTCTCTTCATTTGCTAATGGTCAGATGTCGGGTGTGTTGTCCTGTGTGTTATTGGTGTACATTTCACATGCTGTCTAATTTTTATCGGTTTCTCTCTTTACAGTTCGWATATTTCTCTTCTACTTTTTCTTTTTCTTCTTTACTATAGTATAAAATAGTCACTTATGATGCAGAAATGAAGAAACTAACATTCAGTTYTGTTTTCTACTGAAGTGGCTTAAAAAATAAAAATAAAAAAGTTATCTACTGCTGCTGCTGTGGGATTGAGCAGGGATTGTTTTACTCTGTCAGTTTACTTATGTTCACATCTGGACCAGACTGGGCTTGAAGAGTGACTGTGTGTGTCTCTTTTCAGTTTGGTGATTGTTGTGTAATGCTAAAGCTTAGAGCTCTTTTTCATGCAGCTCACACCCATACAGGGTTCAGCTCTGTACTACACATGCACGTATGCACTGCTGCAGTAGAGCTATTTATAGACCTGCCCTATAAAGACAAATGAAGGTCCAATTAAATTTACCTTTTTTGTATTTGCTGTTTATTTGAGTCTGTTTAAAAGACAAATAATGAACTGTAGGGGGAAGAAGAAACAGAAAATATGGAATGAAATAAGATGTTGATAGAATGAGTCATCCTGACAAAGTGGACAACAGAGTGAAGCAGGGAGTGGTGTGATGAGGACATGACTATGCTTCTGTATTTTAAATATGCACAATAATCTGTGTGTAAAGGGAGGGTGCACTCAAATGGTTAAAATTCCTGCTGCTCCTCATACAGTTTTAAATTACTGAGTTTTAGCCATTATTAACTATTCATTCCTACTGTCACAAATGAACACTAATTAACAGTTTGATATTCTCCATTTGTCCTAATGTAATTGCAGTGAAATAATGTGGGAGGCTAAAAAGATAAATTAGTTTCTGAAGACACTTTGCAAATTAAAATTATGCAAGAGTTTTCCTAGATGTTTTGAGAGATTGTAGAAAAAAAAAACCTGCCATGTTGGCTGGGAGTCAGAGGGTTTTGTCAGCTGTTCAGCCAAGCTGAGGTTGTCACAGCTATTATAAATTAACCTGCTTTGATGTTAGCTCAGATTTACTGTAACCAGCACAGCTCCGGTTAGATCATATGTAACAATCTATCTGGAAACCGCCATAACCCGCAAAAGTTACTAACAGTCTATGAATAGATTGCAACTTATCTGGCACAGTCAGAAGAGAAAAGGCTGAGTACACACCTGCTGTCTGTTTCAATACAATGCCTTGTTTTTTATGTAAACCGTTTGTCTTAAGAATATAGTACATCTGGTAATGGCTGTAAATGTACAAGAGCATGAAGCTGCAGATCAACAATATAATCCTGTACACATCTAGAGTAGCCACACTCCTGTTCTTTTACACACTTAAATAATGCATCCCATTAGTAAATCAACTTTTTATTAATACTAATGAAATTATTGAAGAAGCTTTTTTGTTTGAAGCAGAATAGACAAAGGAAGACATTTTGGACAGTTCTGTAGACAGACTAGCTGAAGTCTTCATCTGTCACATTGTCTAACAATGTGCAGTCAGAACGGCTTGTCACTACCATGCACTGTGTCGTTATGTGAACACATTCTTATACAGTATGGCTTTGTTAGTATTTGAGAATTGCAAAAGGGTGAACATTCAGCAACAGATTTACACAAAAAGGAGTAAGTAAAGTAAGGGCATAGTGGTGAAAGGAGTAAAAGAGGAGCTACGGAAAATAGCTAAATTAGTTGAGTTGAGTTTCTGTAAAATCATGCAGGTGCACTCGCAAGAAACAGTTTGTTTTCTTCTGTTTGCACTTTACTTTTTAAATTTCATTTACCTTTTTTCCTTCTTTTATGATTTTTCTTTTCAACAAAGGATAAGCAGACTGTCAGCATGAAGGAGGAGAGTGTATTCCATCGAAGGCTGTCTCTTTGCCCTAGTGCCACCTCCCCACCAAAAATTGATTCTCGCACTCGGAACCTGTCTTATGGAGGAGGCAACGAGATCTACAACCTCAGTCCAGGTAAGAGGCTAAGGCTTCAAAGCTGGCAAATGACAAAGAGAAATTAATCATATTTCAGAAATCTGTGCTGGCGGAATCAAGTATCTGTAAAATGTGACATATTGTGCTGTAAAATACTTCAGACCAACACACTTTATTTGCTGCTTATTTGCTGCTTTGATGGCTGCCGCGCTTTAATTGTTTGTCTGCAGGTTTTAATCACTGAGCGCATTTGTATGTAACTGTGTGTTGTGGGTTCCCACCAGGCAGTGAGACAGACAGGAACGCTCTCTCCATGCTGAGTAATGAATTTAGTCCTGCCCAATCACCAGACAGCAAGGTAAGAACACAATTCCTGATTGGGCAGTTCCTCAACAGATCATGATAAATCGCTCAAAAGATGAGTTCACGGCAATTTCTTTTTGCTTTCTGTGATTATTTCCCTTCATTGTGATTTCTTTTGTAACTTGGAACTTGTAAAACAATTTGACTTATCTTCAAATTCTTGAGCTCTTGATTTCAGAGAAAATTAAGTAATTTTAAATTATTGGGTCAATCGTTTATTACACTATTAGGTCAATTAGCACAAACAGATAAAAAAAACGACTACTGGTAGTTGTTTCACAATAACATTTGAATAAAGTCACATTAAAGCTGCAGATTTGATGGCAAAGCCATGGTGGGAACTATGTCTTTACTACAACAACTGACCCATTTGGTCTCGCTGCTGCTTATTTTGTATTAGACAATCTGTCATCATTCTCAGGTGTTATATTTTAGGTATGGAAAAACAAATCTTGCAAGTGGCTACCTGGTAATCTTATTTTGTCTTGTCCCTTTCCCACATGTCGCTTCACTTGGCTCAGTCTCACAGTATTGCTTTTTACAGTATGTGAAATGATGTCACGTGTGCAGCTGCATCTCTTGCTCTTTGCCCTGTCCGTCATCCCAAAGGTCTTCAACAAGCTATTTAAAACGGAGAACAGCTTAGCCCTGCATGTTTTCTTTTACAATATGTTGTATACTAGTTTTATTTTTTATGAATCATGATAGTTTAGTGCTTCTAATCACGTGGCTGTGTAGTTAAATATCGCTTCAAGTTTATTTTCACTTTTAAGTRCAGATTATTGAACTCGTTAAACCATTTCTCAGCCCAAGATGTTTGTTGTTTGTGGTCACGAAACCAAAACTGGCTGCCTGTTCAGTTTCTCTGCTAACAGCAAGGTCCACCCACCTGCATCTCCTCAACCACTACATAAGCACTGTTTCACATTTAAACAAACAGAAATAGAGCATTTTGTGGAAATACATTTTTAATTATCAACAATTAGGAAACTTTTTTTATTTGGGTCTTAAATCAAACCTCTGCAGCAGCTGCGATAGCTAAGAATGTGTAGCTTCGTTGGTGTGATGTTCTTTTAATACTTTTTTTTACTCCCAACTCTAGTCTGAGTCCAGGATGTTTAATGGTGTTGAGAAGGACTGCCCCTCCCCCACAGAGAAACTGGCTCGAAAGGAGTCTCTCAAGGTACATGTCACTTCTACTTTGTGAAACAGCTGACAGAAACTTTTAACATTTATGTTATATTTTTGTTCATCCTAAAGTGGGTCAAATATGGATGGTTTTGGAACATTTTTATTACCTTTTTTCATTCAGGGTTTATTCCTTTATGTTACGGTTCTCAGATTGATTCTGCAACTARTTTGACTCTGCTTCCACCTAGTGTTTGTTTATTTGCCTGACCGTGGGACTGATGACTCATTTTTATTTTTTTTTCGTTTAAGGTTCAAAAGCAGAATTATCGGCAGGAAAAGAAACGGGCAGCTAAGGAACTCTCTAGTGCACTTAAGGACCCCAGTGTTGTCATCATGTCCAACTGGCTCAAGGTCTTTAAATGTTTTCGTATTGCYAAAACATATAAACACTTTTATGTACATGTGAAATTATTGGCTATTACATAGAAAGCATCAACTATTGGTTTCACAATTTGCTAATCAATTTGTATTATATTTGGAGTTTATTATTGTTTGAACTTAACAATAAATTCAAAATAATTTGAATTTATTAAGGTCTTATATCTGCATCTATTTGGAAAAAGGTGCAGATAGAAGATTTTTTCTTCTGCCTTTCATYTAGTTTTATTTATGATTTATAAATTTTTTACTGTATATAGAATTTCATTTGTTTTTAAAGAAAATACTAAAGTCTTTCAATTAAAAAAATTCAAATACCAAATTAACTGTAAAGTTTAGGATGTGTTTATAAAAAGTAAAATAGGAACATAATCCCTCCTCATTACATCCCTTTGATTTCTGTAGATCCGTGGTTATTTAAAAGGTTGGACCAAGCTATGGTGCGCCTTGAAGCCTGGTGTTCTTTTAATATATAAGACTCCAAAAACAGATCACTGGGTGGGCACTATTCTTCTCAATGCATGCAAGCTGATTGAGAGACCCTCCAAGAAGGATGGCTTCTGCTTCAAGCTCTACCACCCATTGGACAAATCCATCTGGGCAGTAAAGGTTAGACAGATTTGTTGGAAAATGAAAAAAATGCATATGTGTACTGTGTTTATGCATTTTGTTACATGTAGTCTGTTGCAAAAACTTCATTAATTCAATTTTTAAATACTATATAAAAAACATAAATAGTATTTTAACACCAACAAGATGAATTTCATTTCTGTTGGTACAAACTAAATGCTATCGTTTGATTTGTGTGTTCAGGGTCCCAAAGGAGAAAATGTTGGTTCCATCACACAGCCTTTACCCAGCAACTACCTGATCTTTAGAGCTACATCAGAGTCAGATGGTGAGTTTTCTTGTTGTTTTGCTTAGGTGTACATAGTTTCATGTTTACCAGTAGCATATTTGTTCCTCCCTAAAATCTAATTTATTTTCCTTAGGCCGGTGCTGGATGGATGCCCTGGAGCTGGCTCTGAGCTGCTCCAGTCTCTACAAGCTGACAGCCAAAACTGGGAAAGAGGGAGACATCAGCATCTCAGAGTCCCCACAAATACTCCACCTGCTGCAGTCCTCTCCGCTCACTGATACAGAGCTGCAAGAGTAAGTAGTATTCCTGAAGACCTGCACACATAGAAAACAGCTAATAAATAAACATAATTTTCTACATCTTTGAATTGGCTTAGCARTCACCAGACTCTGAATTGTTGCAGTTTCCAGTTCATGTAAGATGGTTGACATTTGAACACAAGCAGTCAGAAATTACTAGATGATTTGTCTATAATATGGTCTCAATGCATTCTGGTAGTCAGCTTAGAAAAGCAGCTTAAGAATCATGGATTTATTAGTAAAAGTGACTCTAGGAAGAATCTGAGGTTCCTCAGGTGGTCCTTGATTGTGAACCGTGGAAGGTGTAAAGGTCTTTGATTAGTCTGATAACCATCTGTTCAAGCTGTYTAAATTATTTTTTAAAAATCCATATTCATTTTCTCAGCTATATCTGTATATTATTCAAAAAGTGCAGTGCTGGGCTTAAGCTCTAATGAAAATTTTCAGGTGATTTGGCGAAAAGTTAACTAAAACCTTCTAGTTTTTCTGTTGTCATACCACACACC